TTCCTGTTCTCTCACACTCCACTGCTGGCCTCCAGACCACTCCCCTTAGCCTAGGGCATTTACGCCTGCACCACACCCAGCTAGGTGAGCTCCACTATCACATATAAGGGTTCCCAGATAAGAATATGCTCAGCAGAAACTATGAAGAAGAGGAGAGAGTGGAGTAACATATTCCAAAAATAAAAAATAAATTCCAATTTTTTCCATTTAAATAAGACAGGTTATAGATTAGTATTGTTTGCATTTAAAAAATTATTCAGTTGGTTTAAAATAAAGAATGATCACACTCCCAAGAAGACCAGTTCAGTCAGTAAACAGATTTCAATGTTAAATAATTCACATTTGTATAAACATTGACTATTTTAAATTACTGTTCCTAAAATATCCTTAGAAATGATACTTCTTTTTGTTTTGTTTTTTAATCACTTTATTGGGGGCTCGTACAACTCATCACAATCCATACATCCATTCATTGTGTCAAGCACATTTGTACATTTGTTGCCATCATCCTTCTCAAAACATTAGCTTTCTGCTTGAGCCCTTGGTATCAGCTCCTCATTTTTCCCCCTCCCTCTTGGAAATGACACTCCCATAGAAGTAGCAATAAAAACAAAAAAACTCTCAACAGCACAATTTGACATTAATTAGTGAGTGAAAGAACAGACACTTCTCAAAGATTCATAGATGGTGATGACGAATATTAAGTCCAAAAATTATGCACCAGGGAAGATGGCATGCATGGGGCCCCAAATACGTAGACTGCTGGCATAAAAGAACTTAGAGGATGCAGTTATTTTTTAAATGACAAACTTAACTATTCTAAAAGGCACGGAAGGAGCCATCGGGTACAGTGGGCTGAACCGGGGCTGCTAACTGCACATCCATGGTTAGAACCTACCGACTGCTCCCTGGGAGAAAGAAGCTTCTGTAAAGACTCACCGCCTCGCAAACCCTGCAGAGCAGCTCTATTCCGACCTAGAGGGTTGGCATTGATGAGGTGGGACAGGGATTTGATGACAGTGGGATTTTTGCCTTGAGCTTTACTTTAGGTTATGACTCGTATCCATTGTGTGCAGGATCTGCAAAAGTTTGTCTTCAAGCCAAAATGCCAACTGTGGGTGTCTTAGTTGTCTGTTGGTCGGACAGATAGGAGATTTTTCTCCTTAGCAGGAATGACTTTGCTGAATATGAAAATAATACTAAACAACTTGGCAAGGAGGATAATGGATTTTGTGAATTTCTCACATATCGTAAAACTGTACAAAAGTAGCATTGGTTACGCAGTCATGGGCCACATGGGAAAATTATTGCTAATAATTTTGTCACTATTATTGATTGGGGCCCCCCATGGGAAAGTTTGGACAAACTATTGTGAGGATGTAAATGTAACATTGTGCGATTATGTACATAATGGTATTTGGAATCATATAGAACCTTCTGGCTGGGCTCACACTACGAAATTGATGGCATGCTATGAGTGTGGGGCTGGCCCCTCTCCAACCTTGTCTTTTGTATCCATCTATTGGACCTGAGCAGCAGGGTTGTGGAAATTGCCCTTAGCTACGCAGCCTATGGTTTCTTACATGGGAGAATTTGGAGGCACAAGTTGCTTGGTTTGTTCTGATAACATGGCCTTGCTTGCTACCTTCTTGAAATGATCGCTGAAGAGAAGAGTGCATATGCGAATGTGGTGAAGACAGCAGGTGGTGCAGGGCTATCAATCAGCATAGTGTCTGGGGTCTTAATGGCTTGTATTCAAACAAGCAGCCATCTAGCATGGAAGCAACTAAGTCTACATGGAAGAAGCACACCAGTGGGCGTGATCCAAATATGTTGAAGGAAAAAGGTATTGAAGCTAAAATTGTAAACACCAAGTATACAGTGGGAACACAAAAATTATCAGCAAAATAGTATGGTTGGCCAACCTATGATTGAAAATATTTCTTGGGTTAGGAAAAAAATAATTTAAGTAAAAAGAAAACCTATTTAAGAAAATATTTCTCATTTGACGCTTTGTGGCAGTTAATAATCTGTCAACTTGAACGAAGGGGTAGAGTCTAGCATGTTAATCAGGTCACAGCCAATGAGACCTCTGTGGGGACATGGCCTTCTCCTGAGGGACACACACACTCTCTCTACCTTCCCTTTCCTGCTGTTGAGACACTCAGAGAGTTGGATGAGACACGTGGAGACACACGCCAGCATTGAGATGCCTCCACCGCCATTGGATCCACAAGACTTTCTACCCACTGGCCTGTGATCTTCCTGCTTCCTGCATTCGGCATCATTGCATGTGCTGTGTGAGTCTAAAGAGGAACTATGGACTAGCATTGGGCATATGGGCTAATACCGGACTTATGGACTAGATCTGGGATGTTTTCTCAATATATAGTTGCTCTTTTATATAAAACTCTCTTAAACACATGAATGCTCATTAACTTGTTTCTCTAGTCAACCCAGACTAACACATGGTTTGAATTTTTCTTACGCATTTTCTTATTATTTGGATCCTCATTGATATTATGATTGAAGTGTTTTTGACTGTGGTATTGTACAATCAAGTGGCTATGACCCATATAAATTAGACTCTGCTTACAAAATGAAAAAGGGGGAGGGAGATGTGAGGGTAAAGCTGTTTGCTCCTTAGGCAAACGGGACAGGACCACCACCTTCCATGGTTCATGGCCCATGGGAGAATGCTGATGGCTCAGCCATGGGAGCTGATGAAGCAATGGCTGGCCTGTCTCTCCGCCTGCGATAGAATGGACACGTTGTCTCATGTTCCCTGGCAAGGCTGCAGAAGCAAGTCCACACGCTTATCGGTTACTTCATGTTCCCAAGCTTGTCCTCTCCTCAAACAATTGTAAACGGCCCCTTTATGTAAAACCTGTCATGTGTTGCAGGCTATGTGCAGGGAATGTATTTAAACCTGTCTTGAATAAAGTACGAGGCCCTGGAGTATCTATACTGCAGGGACCCCTGTGCCTCCACTTCGGCTCTCCCTTTTGTATACAAATTTTCTCCTTGTAGAGCGTACCCTCTTGAACCCGTTTGATTTGTCAGATAAGAGCCAACTCTATATTACCTTACAGGTGCCTCCCTGGTAATGAAAAACCTTTGTACTATAGCCCACAGCCCAAGATTAAAAGGTGGGTATCTGCATTTGCAGCCCCTCGGGACTGTCCTCGGGAGAAAGACAAGGTTTCTCTGTTCCCATAAAGAGTTACAGTCTCAGAGAACAACTGCGGAATACCAGACCCTGTGAGGTTTCAAGATTCACTGAATATTTTGCCTTGAACAGGAAGGCCTCCTATCCCTTGCTGTCCAGTAATAGCTTAAAGAAGCCAATCCTCAGATCTGCTGCAGGGTGTGCACTGACTGTAAGGCAGTGCATATACACACAGTATCTGAAGCTACTGTAGAAGAAAAATCTCATTAAAGAAAATAATCATCTGTGATTTTAAAGGCTAAAGATCTCTGAGCTCTAATTAGCAGTAAATAAAAACAAGAAACTACAGGCATCAAATAGCCCACCTTGTTCCCTGGAGGATTAAATAGAGATGTCTTAAATATACGCTGTATATTCTTAATAATGTGAAAAGGATGTTTTGAAATTTCTGGATTTTATTTATTTTTTCAATCTTATTCCATATATTCCTTTTCTATGAATATGCTGACAAAAATAGTGAAAATACCATATACTGCCAAAAGAATAAACAAAT